TCCCACACCTCAAATACTGGACTCAAACTGTTAACACCTTGTGTCACCGTGTCTCTGTCTCCAGACAGAATTTTTCACTGCCAATTGCTGGCCAGTGCCAACTTGCTGGATGGGATCATATGGATATATTTATGGGGCTAAACCTGGAACACTTATCACCCAGCTGGCTTTGCAGTACAGCCATCACTGCTTGATCACTGAGTATGTTCCAGCGAATGTCAGAAAGCCAGCATCATGTGGGCTTGAAGGGAGGTGCCTGGCACAGTGTGAACAGGGATGGCTAGTGGAGAAACTGAGCTTTGAATAATGTGACACATCCAGGCAGAACAAACAACCTGATGTTGGCACAATTTTTGGTCTCCAGCAAAAGTAATGAGTATTAAATATATATGTTGTTTGTCTGCATCTGGTGCTGACTCAGCAGCTGTGAAAGTGGGAGTGAAGTGCTGGTTTTTGAAGGTTTAGTCTGTGATGTAATAGACTTGTTAGCAAAATTGAAGCCCTAGGGATCGATGTGGTATGGTAGTGTGGTTGAGAAGTTTGCTAGAAGACAAAGCAGAGATCAGTGGTGAATGCTCCCTTCTCAAACAGAAGGGAAGTAAACAGTGGTGTTCTCCAGTGATTGGTTTTAGGGTTGTTGCATTTTTTTGATAGATATTAATAGCATAACTTGGGTATAGTTCGCAGTTGGCACAGAACTTATAAGAAACAGGGCGAAGTTTAGAAGTTACGTCTAGTGAAATGGGCATAGTGGTATAGTATTTTCAGGGAGGCCAATGGAATGTTGGTCTTCCTTTCAAAGGGAATGGAATATAAAAGTCGGAGGTTTTTCTGAAATTACACAAAGTACCAGTCAGACCACAGCTGAAGTACTGTGTACAGTTTTGGGCCTCCTATCTAAGGAACCATATACTGGCATTGGAGACAGTCCAGAGAAGGTTCACTAGGCTTATACCAGGTACAGAGGGACTGTTGTGAGGAGGGGTTGAGTAGGCTGGGCCTGCAGTCATTGGAGTTTAGAAGACTGAGACCACCTTAGTGAAACATGCAAGGTTTTTAGGGGACTTGACGGGGTGGATGCAGTAAGGCTATTTCCCCTTGCGGGAGAGTCCGGGACCAGAGGGAATTATCTCTGAGTAAGTGGTCATCCCTTAAGATCCAGGTGAGGTGGAATTTTTTCTGGGGGTAGTGAATCTATGGAATTCCTTCCCACGGAGGGTTGTTGTGGCTGGTCATTAGGTATATCCAAGACCAAGATAAGTTTTTAATCAGTAAGGAAGTTGAGGTTTCTGGGCTTAAAAACACGAAAGTGGAGATGAATGGTGAAGCCGACTCGGGGCTGAATGGCCTACTTCAGCTCATGCATTCTGTGTTTTTTTTTTAGGGAATTCTTTAGAAAACACTGCTTCAGCATCTGCCAATTCTCAACATCATAATTTGTGAAGATGTCAAGACGTTGGAAAGGATGTAGGGTGTGGGTGTGGTGAAAAAATTGGCATCTGATTTGCTACTACTGTAGACAAGTTCTGTCCCCGTCCTGCAACAAGGGATGTTTTCTAGGATTTGGGGAACCACCATGGAGAAAGACAAACTTGTTTGTTTGTTTTCTTATTAGTGTTAAGAGGAGAAATGGATGTATCCATTTTTCTTTCCCCCCACTCAGTCTTGTTCTTGTCCATTTGAGACTGAGAAGGTGGAGAATCTGTGCACTTGCCTCTGGTTTTGAAGTGACTGTTTGTGTGAAGTCTGACAATTGCTACTCCTTGAGTTCCCTTCCTTTCCTTCATCTGTTTCCTACCTCAGGACAACACTCTTCTGAAACAGGTGGGGGAAGACAGCGAGAGGGGTCAGCAAGAGAGGGCGAGAGAGAGAGACGCACAGACTCTAGTTGGATGTGCACCCTGCACATTCATCACATGAACCTGTCTCTTCAGTTGATGTACTGCCATGCAGCCCGTCCAAGTGTGGAAAGTGATGGGTCGATGGCCATTAAGAATCAGCCAGAGTCAACCTGTCGGCTTTAATATTTAAACAAAGCTGTGCATTTAGCTGGCAGTCATCGTCTTACTGCGTTCTTCATAGGGGATTGGCAGGCAGCTTCTGTACTAGTCCATGTCCACTTGCTGACCAATCAGCATGCTCCATTCATGCAGACTAAACATACGTTTCCCCTTTTAAATTGGTGTTCTTGTGAATTGTCCTGATGAGTGCCAGATTAAAAACAAAATTGACAAAATGCCTGTTCAGCATCCCTCAAGTTTTGTAAGAACCTGGTTGTTCTTCCCAGTATATTTAGGGATAATAAATAAAATAAATAAATAAAATTACTTTTTAACAAGTAAATGTCCCTCTGCTTTTTCCCGAGTTTCACACAATGTCTTGACAATTCATTTTTAATTCTTACTCCCTCCAAACTGGTGTTAGTCAGCCATCCTTATACAATGATCAAATATGATCACATTTATGACATTCATATGACCCTGTGAAGCCCCTGAATTTGTGCAGCAACATTATGCACTAACTGCGTGGAATGTGTGCGACTCTATCTGCAACTGACAGAAAGTTACTTTCCCTACTTCAAGAAACCTACATGCATTTATACTTGGTCAGAAGTCACACAATGTCAGGTTATAGTCCCACAGGTTTATTTGAAATCGCAAGCTTTTGGAGTACATCCCCTTCAGTTGTACCTGATGAAAGAGCAGCGCTCTAAAGGCTTGTGATTTCGAATAAACTTGTTGGACTATAATTGGTATCGTGAGACTTCTGACTTTGTTCAACCCAGTCCAACACCGGCACCTCCACATCATGCATTTGTACGTGGCCCTATCATTAGTGAGCTTTCTCAAAAGTTTCCCATTTCCCATTTCAGATATTCTGTATCGAATGCTTTAGCGCAGTTAGATACAGGTCTGCTCTGCCTCATTCTCAAACCCAAAGAGATGCTGCATTGTGGTAGGTCAGCAAATTTAGGTCAAACTTTTTGGGGCGTAAGTTAAAATCTCAATATGGTAGCTGGTAAAATTTAAATTCCACTAATAACCATCTGGAATTGAAAGGTAGTCTCCGTAAAGTTGACCATTAAACCACCATTGTTATAAAACTCGTCTGGTTCAGTAAATATTCTTCTTTTTTTTTAGGGATACAAATCTGCCAAACCTTGGCCTCTGTTGATTATGTGTGACTCCAAGGTCCACAGAAATGTTGTTGATTCTTAGCTGCTTTCTGAAATGGCCTAACAAGCCACTCACCTCAGGGCAGTTAGACATGGAATCAAATGTTGGCGTTGCCAAGGATATTTGAAGAAATAAAAACAGATTATGTTCCCTGCTTGCTGAACCATTCCTTTTATTTCCCACACCCAACCATCCTTTGGTTTGCCTGGGTGTGAGTCCTAAAAAGTATTGGACTAAAGCGAAAGGGATATAGCCTTATGCTATAGGTACATTCACATTAGGGACACGATCCAAACAGGACCACATTTAGCCAATAAAGAAGACTTTTTTAATCCATTAGTCTGGCTGGGATTTAACATGACATGAAAGACCGCTGTGTGACTGCACAACCGATTCCATCACCCGAACCCTGTGTTTTTTTACTGGGGGTAGTCGTCACTGAATTACAAACAGACGGTAATAGAGCGGCCACCTGTCTCACACCTGGTTGGATTGAGCTTCATGTTGAGATTGACAGATGGGAAAGTTTGAGTGAGGTTCCGAATGGGGGTGGCTGCTCTGTCGCTGCCGTATTTCTGGCTTCTCTTGTCAGGGGCAGTAACTTTCAACTTCGTGTGGGAGGCACACTGTTCACACCTTGTGCATTGTGCTGAGCTACGACTGTGCTGTTTGATCTGAAGTGAGAAGGCCCTGCTACATTGACACCAGAAGGTATACACAACGGTGTACAGATTGGATATGGGGACGTTAGAGACTGTGTTACCATGAGTGGGGATAGTGGTTGGAAGACAGTAGTTGGCAGTGCTGGAGAAGGATTTGAAGTACTGCTGGTCTGATAAGGAGAGAAAGGTGATAGGAAAATGCACTGATCCTGGTTAATCATGAGCTAACTCTTTCTCTTCTACTTTTTGAGCTGAGTGCAAACTTGGCTGGCAGCCCTCTGGAAGGGGCTGCTTTCCAGTTTTTAGTTGACTTCATTAGACTATAAAATATAGGAGCAGAATTAGGCCATTCAGCCCATTGAGTCTACTCCACTGTATGATGAGGAAACAGCACTTTAATGTTTTGCAGCCTTCAATGTCCCCATTTCAAATCTGTGCACCATTATGTACACCTTTCCTGTTGGCTGGTTTTCACATGTCTTAACAGAAGACCTGAAAGTAGGCTTCTGGACCTGGTGAATCATCACAAAACAGCAAAGATCACCAAAGATAATGAACGACTAGGAGTTAAATCAATAGGCGTCAATGCAGAACATTTCACTCACATTCTGAACCAAGTTCCTTCATCTGAGTGCCTCAGAATTAAACAATATTAGAGTTTCAAATAAGGGGTGGAATTTAGAACTTGGGTTTGCAGTGCGCTTCCGTCCAACCCCATTCATAACGCTAGGGCATGTCTTATCCTCTGCTAAGAGGATCTCCAGCAGCAAACTGCAAACATTGCTTGCTGGATTCGGGTGGTGTTGAAATTGTCTAGAATTTCCTGAATAGCACTAATGTTAGGAATTTAACGTGGAGTTCGGGTTTCAAAAAGAAAAATGATTGAATCATGGTTTTCTTTCTTCTCCTTAAAGCTGTTTCATGCTGATGTACAATCTCGTAACTATGATTTTTGGCTCTTGAATGAAACCGGGTAATGTTTTTGAGAGTAATGACTAAAGGTCTAAGAAGTGACACCCAAATTTCTCTGTTCTGTTTTCTTACGTGCTTTTCAAGGTTCTTAAGGCCTGCAATATCCAACAGCAGTAAATAATTTTTCTTCGAGAAACTCAATAGTGTTACGTAGTGTTGTATGTGACTTCCAGCTTTTTGTTCTTTACAGGTGATGGAGACCAAAAACATGCTGTATCTTGTGACTGAGTACGCTAAGAATGGAGAGATTTTTGGTAAGTGTTTTTAATTATGTATTTTTTGATATCAATTTCCTCCACATCTGGGTAACAGATCTGCAGAATTCAATGTGCAAGAAGATACTGGTGCAGATGTTCAAGTGAAAATGAATAAATTGAACAAGAAGGCTCGGTTCTTATTGTTTAATGGTTTGAAGTGGCATTCAGTGATTGTACCACAGTTTTCTTTCTTGCAGAAGTATCAGAAGTGATAGAAAATTATGGGATGCCCCATAAAGCCAGGTTGTAATGGTATCATTCAACTTGCGTTCTCCACAGTCAAGAAATAATTCTCAAATCTTTATTTCTTTTGACCTGATTTTACTATCTTCTGGTGATTATTACCCTTTTTAAGTGTCAGTTTGATTTAGTTGTCAACATTCTCACTTCTGAAGCGGTAAATCACCTGTTCAAACCATCCCTCATTAATTGAAAGCATAATTCAGGGCAGCGTTTCCAAGTTGTATTGAAGGAGTGCTGCATTGCCAGAGATGCTGGTTTTCAGATAAGATAACAAGGCTTCTTCTGCCCAGACAGGTGGACGTTAGAGATCACAAGTCCAATACTCGTTCTAATTCAATTATTCGCGCAGTATTGACTTCTGAAACTGTAGGTCAATACATCAGCATAGCGATTTGCATGCATGGTACCTCCTGAGGAGCCTCTTGAGTAAGCTGGACAACTGCACAGCTTGAAGGGCATGTTGCCCCGGGCACTATTTGAAGAACAGCAGATTTCCCTCCATGTTCTGTGCCACATCTTCCATTGATTGGCATTAATAATGCTGTAGCACATCACCTATTTGATCCTTTTTTTAGTGGATACTGACTGTGGAAATGTCTGTTGTGTTTGTCTACATAATGATGACAAAGGAAAAGGTAATTTGTTGTTTGTAAACTCCACTGGAATACCACAAAAATATATTGAGGTATCGTCATGTAGACTCAAGTTTGTCTCCCTTGCACATTCTCTACTTGATGTATTTAACCTCTTGATCAAGAACAATCAGCTTGTACTCATGTAGCTTAACATTTTAGGATCACAACTGCAAACCTGAAGAGCTGAAAGTTTTGTATTACATTGAAGTTGGTTTATAAGGCTAATATCTATCTAGAAAACAAAGTGAGGACCTTGTTGTGATAACCCCATTCTGTGTCCCTGTCCTAGAGCAGTGTTTTATGTTGACTGAATCCACTCTAACTCCTTCCTTTTGATCTTGTGCGCATTGCTGGTCTTGCAGCTTTTCTTGAGGCCTGTATAAGTACTTGGTATTACAGTGTAATCTGCAGATGATTACATCTATGATGGAGCTGGCCGTGACACAGTAAGACGGTTCAGATACGCAGAAGTTAATTTTATCTATTGAATAGCTACCTGATTTATGGAGGTAAGGGCCTGCTATGTTTTGACAGCTTATTACTGTGACATAGCTGAGTATTAAATGCAGCGCTCTGTTCTGAGCCACTACAAGGGCAGACATCCCCAGTGACTGTCCTAGTCAGTAAGTGATATAGAAAGAGGAGGTGAACCGTACAGAACTCTTACAGGGCCTGACCGGTAGTGCAGGAAGGATGTTTCCCCTGGCTGGGAAGATTCAAAACCAGGGGACACACTGTGAATAAGAGGCCACTGAGGACTGAGGAGGAATTTCTTCACTCGGGGTGGCAAGTTTTGGGAAAGGGCTGTGTAAGCTCAGTCACTGAGTATGTTGAAGACCGACGTCAATAGGTTTCTAGATTATTGATGAAAAGTGATGCTTTTTTTTTAGGAATATTCATAAGAATACCAATGAAAGGGAAAAAGCAGCTTCCTATTTTATTCCCAAAGTACTCAAATTTCTCTACTACCAACCCAACTATAAGATTTCAAGATGTAAATATATCGAAGGGTATTGGGGGATAATGTGGGAAAATGGTGAAACAGGCTTAGTTGCCCAAATGATCTGTACCTGCTCCTATTTCCTTTGCACCAAAAGTGCAGAGGGCAACAGTGACCATATTTTTCAGGTGAAGGCTGAAGAAAGGAATCCTGGCCTCTTAAGAAACTTCACCTTTCTTCAATTTGTTTTTTGGATATACCTGCACCAAAACTGGACAATTTGCCTGTTGCCTCTCAATGTTGGACAACTATTTAAATGATTGGACACTGGCTTACACTTTTTAAAATGGCCTTTCCACCAGAAAGTATTTGATATTTTAGTGGGGGCAATGGCCTAGTGGTATTTATCTCAGGACTGTTAATCCAGAGACGCAGGTATGTTCTAGGACATGGGTTTGAATCCTGCCACGGCAGATGGTGGAATTTGAATCCAGTAAATATCTGGAATTAAGAGTCTAATGATGACAGTGAATCCATTGTTGATTGTTTGGAAAAAGTAATCTGGTTCACTAATGTCCTTTTAGGGAAGGAAACTGCCAACCTTATGTGGTCTGGCCTATTTATGACATCAGACCCACAGCAATGTGGTTGACTCTGAACTGCCCCCTGGGCAATTGGGGATGGGTAATAAATGCTGCCTAGCCAGTGACACCATCATCCCACGAATGAATTTTAAAAAAAAAAAAACCAGCAGTGGGCCTTTTCAGGATGATGTTTGCCAGACAGGGAATGGGACAGTTCATCATTTCTTCATGACCTTCAATGCTCCAAGGGCTATTTTAGACCAGTTTGGATGCTGTAACACTTCCATCTCCTCATTCAGCACTGTGCAGCATTGGGATACTGCTAATTAATTCTGAGCGGGCCCCTTCTAATCTAATACTGCACTTTTATACAACTTCAGGTGGAACTCGTGGATGATAGTGGGAACACATGGGCCTAACTTTCCATCTGCCCTGTAGTGTGGTGTTGACTGTTGATGATGACACCTGTTCTACCATCACTGCCTTCTTTCGATTTTTGCTTTCCCTTCCTTCTTGCTTGAAAACAATGGTGAATTTTTTTATTTGTCTTCCTCTAATGCACCTCCCTTATGACCATTGTTCATGGATATACAGCATAGAACAGTACAACACAGGAACAGACCCACCATGTCTGTGCTGCCCATGATGCCATTGTAAACTAATCCCATCTGCCTCTGCATGGTCTGTATTCCTCTCTTCCCTGCCTGTTCGTGTATCTAGAGCAATATTGTCTTCAGGGTGTTGAGGAAGATTATCACACCTGGTCCATTCTTCTTCCAGACACGCTGCTGTCAAGCACTGGTAATAGCCAGACAATGAGAGAAGCAGAAAGTCCAGCTGCCGAGACGGTGAGCCTGGGAGCTCCGAGGTCAATGAAAACACTCCTACCATTGGCCTAGCTAATCTTGGATAACTGCAGATCATGGATTAAACATTAGATTATCTAAGTCTGTATTTTTGTTATTCACTTCCTTACTTTATTAAAGCTAATGTGAGGAGCCCAGGATGATGTGGCAGGAGGGAGACGTGAAGCTGGATTATGAGGCTCAAGATGTGTCCCTACATCTTTAGCTGGGAAATAGTGAATACAACAATTAGTAAGGTTAGGGAATGGAGTAATGTACCAAACAAAGACAAATACAACACGTTATGATTAGACAGAATGGTACAATACGTGATTTGTCTGTATTGAGGTAATGATATTTGGTAGAACTTAATGTAGATTTATCTCTACTGTCAGCTAGCACAAATACTCTTAAGTGTGTATTATATGTATACATTGGTAAAGTCCCTTTCTGCTTAAAAGGGAGAGAAATTGAACCTTGCCCTAACTTAGAAGGAAAATTTTTGACAGTGGCCATTGTACGCAGACACACCTGGAGCTATCATTGAACATTTTTATTTGCACTCCGGCTATGACAGATTGGGAAGCATCATGGTCATTTGTTGGAAAATAGAACTGTTAACCAGCTTCCCCCACCTTTCATTGTTTTATTTTAAGCTCTTCTCCAGCTATTAAATGGCAGCTCGCAACAACTTGGTACGGCTATAAAATGTTTTCACTTCCCATGGAAACATTGGCATTAAGAATGAGGGGGCCAGTGGCAGGGGCAGGGGAAGTTTTGGTTCTCTCCACACCTCCTCTTCCCTTTTAATGCTATGCTCACTTCATCAGGGATTGTAGTGAACTTTGTCAAAACTCCAGCTTCTTAATTTGCTCCTCCCCTGTAAAGCAGCCTTGTGCCTTGAGTCTTTTCTTACTTTAGGGAACAGTGAGCAGCACAGACGGAGCTTCTGTCACTTGCTATAGTGCCAGGGCAGTTTATAACAGCTCAAACTACACAACTGTCTAGAACTTTGAGGTAATGTCACAACTGCACCCTGTTGCTGTCAAGTGTCAGAGGCAGCTCAGTGTCAAATTCCTCAGCTCTGCGTTGACTTATTAAGCAAAGTGGTCCGTGATGCGTAGCCGGATCACAAGATTAATCATAACAGCAGGAATGTGTCATGAACCCTGTGTGGCATGTAGCTTCACTACTGAAGGGCTGTCATTTCCTGTTTTTCATGCATGCCTGCTATCATTCACTCTTCAGCTGTCTGATCAGAGGCCTTTACCAAAGAGCCATTTGGCACCATCTTCAAGTGAGAGGTTTCCTTCAGGCTGAGATCAGTTAGTGATAGAGGAATAACTGCACTCCATGTTGTTCAGTATTAATGCTGCAGCAATTGGCCACCTGCTACCCAGTACGTTTGCCACTTAAAGTATATTATTTTCAAACGTTTGACTTCACTCCTGGAAAATGATTTGGAATATATAAAATTCATAATTATCAATAGTATTAAGGGTTTGCTATCTACACTCGTGAGATTCTTAAAAGAATAGGGACCGTTCATGTGAACTTCCTAAACACTAACAATTCACTTTGTTTAAATGTGTTTGTTTATTCCGATTTTAATCTGGAGATGTCAGTGGATGACCCATCTCCGTTACTGTGAGGGCTGGTGATTTCTTTTTTGAACCAACCAGATGAAAGCTGCAATTGGTATTTGCACGTGTCACCTTCTCTGTGTTTGTTTGTACAACTCGTGGTTATG